CGAAAACTTCATCTTCTTCATGGAGGAGCCCCTGAAAATTTTCAGCCGCTAGAACCAAAAATCGACCGCCCATCTTGCTTCTTTTTCATGCTTGAACAGAGATACAAAAAAAAACGGAGTTGTTTCTAAGCTAAACCCAGCTGCAAACTCACTTCAAAACATCTAAACCATTCATAAAAATAGATGCTGACGAGGTCGTTTGCAGCAATATTCCGTTTTCGATCGAGTCGAGTTCGCCGCCAGTTCCGCTTGTCATGAGTTCTCGAGCCGAGCTTCTGTTGATTTCTTGTTTAACTGGAAATGGAGACATTAGAGTATGAGGAATTGAACTTGGGGTTCTCGTTGCTTTCCCTTATCTTGCTCCTGTTGAAGATTGAGGGTATCAGGTACATGTTCTTTTGGGTGCTAATACTTGTGGTTTTGTTTGAAATTATGTGTAATTTCCTGTATAAATAAGTAAGTTAGGTTTTACTGATTTGGATTTAATTGTTGCATAAGACTTCTGTTAATAAGCTGCAACTTTATTGATTTCTTTAGTTGGCTTCATTCTTAAATTGTTAAGTTCAATAGAGACATAGTAGTCCTTAATACGTAACAACGTGAGTAGCCTTCTTGAACGCGTTACTCGTTTCGTTTGGTTAACCTGTAAATGTATGTTGAATGAAATGGTCTAGTAAAATATGTTGAGCATTAGTATTAGATATTTTTGGAGAATATGTCGAGTATTAGTATTAGATATATGTTGAAATTAATTGATTACTGTGATGAATGCGTTGGTTATGATTTCCTTTTCCTAATATTGAAATGAGAACATTTTATGTAACTCGATTATAACGACTTCGAATAATAAAATCCTTTGAAAGAAATCAAAGGGTGCCATGCCAAATAAAAATATCAAATGCATGACCCTCGCTTGGTTGATATTTTAATTCTTAGGATTCGAGGCGTGCCATTTAGCAAATTCCATGGCCCTCGCAAAATTTAAAAATGCATAATTGCTTTAGGTGTGTTAGTTAAAATCTATCTTTTTAAATACGGGTGCGCATTTATATGACCCAAATCCAAATCTCAATGGAGTTGAAATCAAGTAACCCATTTTAAACCTTCAAGTTTTTAAAGACCCCATTAATGGTTTTTCGATTTGAAGTGAAGAACTCAGACTTATTTCAATTTTAATCAATAGGGGGACTGCTCCTGGAGAAGAGTGACGGCTGGAGATGGGTGCGGTGAAGAAGAAGGGTTCGGCGTTGGGGGTTAGAGAGGAGGAGGAAGGAGGAGCTTGGCGGCGGTTGGTTGTTTGGTCTAATACAAGCTAACTGAGAGTTTTGTAACAGAAAGGTGAATTCGAAGCATTAGCTAGTGAATTTAAGAGCTTAAGCTTAAATTAGTTGAGAGTTCTGTAACGGAAAGATAATTGAATTTGAGAGCTTAAACTTAAATTAATTGCTTTAATCTTCAATTGGATATGAGTAGTGACACTGATAAAGAAGAAGGAAATGGTAAAAGTGTAGGAGGCAATGGTAAAAATGGTGGTGGACATAAAGGAGGAGGAGGAGGAGGACCACAAAAAAAAAAAAGAAGAATAAAAAATCTGTTTTTTGGGCTCTTCACGAACCTATATTGGGTGAAACTCACTCTATGTGCCAACTCAACAAGAAGTGTCTAACTGAAACAAAGTTCATGTAATATACTCGCTCATTGAAAATACTCTTAAGTTGAAATGTCTAAATAAAAAATTATATTAACTTTAAGTGTGTCCATATGTATTAGCCCCGTGCCTATCAGACCATTTTGATCAATTGGAATGTGCCTGGTGCCTTTATCTGGCAAGTGACATGTTGTATCAGTAAAATAGAAAGAATTGAAATAAAGCTGACCCCAAATGATTCTAGTGACGGGGTTAATTTTATGACAAAACAGGATCACATTGAAAAACTAAACATAGAAGAAATAAGATACTTCTTCTGGTCCAAAATAAGTAATTTTTTAGATATTTTTATACAGATTAAGAAAATCACCTTTTAGTATTAATTAATAATATAATTGACCATATTAACCTTTACTATCTCACATAAATACTTCTAACATATATTCCAACACTATTTACTCCAAGGACAATGTATGAAAAAAATAATTAATTCATTCTTGAAATCTGAAAAAATCACTTATTTTGGACCACAAAAAAAACCAAAAAATCACTTATTTTAAATCGGAGGGAGTATATTTTACTCCTAGTGTCCACAAGATTCAATATTTTCGTAGACAGCAAAATATCTTAAACAACAACTAGACAAAGCTACATTCGCGCACATGATCATAGAAACATTTCAAAATTCAAAACTAGCTCAGAAAAGCAAAGAGGTAGCATCACCAACTCCAAAAGCCAGTCAAGAAGAGGATGATATATTTTAGAAATGGTTCGATACCTCTTTCTCTAATAATTCCAGCGATTAATTTATTTTTCCCAAGGTTTCACAACCTTCAAGGCTCCAACATTTTGCTGTGTCATCTGCATCGAAACAACCAATCAGTTTTCTAACTTCAGAAGCAATAACCATCAGCTAACAGATTTCTAAGTTCGTTGACAGTAATGATGCAGATTGTTTCGAATCCCAGCGATAATTAGTCAAAGGACCTATGAACTTTCTGTTTTTGATGAAAAGGCAAGAATATTACTAATAACTACTCCCTCCGCTCTAAAATAAGTAATTTTTTGGCATTTTTCTTGTGATCCAAAATAAGTGATTTTTTCAGATTTCAAGAACAAATTAATTATTTTTTTCCTACATTGTCCTTGGAGTAAATAGTGTTGGAATATGTGTTAGGAGTATTTATGTGAGATAACAAAGGTTAATATGGTCAATTCTATTACTAATTAATGCTAAAAGGTAGATTTCTTAATCTGTGTGAAAACATCCAAAAAATAACTTATTTTTTACCGAAGGAAGTACCAAGTAGGTACCAAAAAAGGAGTATAACAGAGAGATGATCATACTTCCATAAATTGGAGTACCAAAAAACCTAACTATGACTCAATGTCAGATACAAGAATCTTCCTACACCATAGGTGCATGCTTTTTAAGCATCTAAATTTAACCTGCTCTATGTTGTTTCTCTTGTCATTAAAATATCTATCATTCCTCGCCATCCAAATAGACAAGAAAATGCAGAAATGAATAGCAGTCGAGTAGTTCCTGTTGTCCCTTGATGAAGACTGCTCGTAAGTTTAATGCATCCTGGCATGACACGTTGGACACTTAAGAATGGCAGGAAACATTCGATCTGTCTAGTGAAGGTGCAGTGAAGCAGTAGATGATTTACTGATTCATTGGCATTTTTCACACAGAAAGCATCTGCTGGACAAATCTAAACCTCTTTTTTGCAAGTTGTCATGAGTTAAACAAGCTCCGTGGGTAGCGATCCAAGTGAAACAGCAACCTGATCATTGAGAGAGATAGCCTCCAATTTCAGAAGCAATTCATTAAAATATTCAAATTCTTTGGCAATTTAAGGTTCTATGGAAGCGTCAATTCCCAATAAGCATCCCATATTCTTTGATCATATATAAACTTCAAAATTTGAATATGATGTTGACCGTATATCTATAGTATATCCTATCAGGTTAGAACAAGTTTATTTCAATTTCAGGAAAACGAGAAATAGTCATTACAATATGGTTCAGGGACAGAAGGATGGCATTGATCTTGTTGATTAATGTAATTAGTAGAAAGATTTGATTAGATTACATTTTATTCTCTAGCCTAATTATAGGAAGATTTTATTTTGTAGCTTGATTGTAGTAATTAGTGATTTCATTTCCTAGTTTAGCCATATGATTTATTGTATAAATATCAATTCTTTTGATGTGAATGGTATACAGAAATACAAGAAGCTATATTCTTCTTTTTGAAATCATCATGGTATCAGGGCCTCTGCAGCCATTTTGAGGTGAGTTTCCTCCCTCAGCAGCACTATAGAGTTCTAGTTCTTTGAAAGAGGTCGAGTTTTTCCTCCCTCACGGTGGTTGTCCGCATTGAAGCCATTATATACTAGTAGTGTGGAAAATCTAACACCATTACAAGCTTCCTCAGGCGATGGCGACCAAACCCCAGTGAGCAGCTTCGAGAAATACTTCCGCACGTGCCTCCACGCGCCGCCAACAGTTCCAGCTCCGGCGCGCGTGAATCCCACGCGCTAGCGAGTAGACGGCTTTCCGGTGACTTTTTCTGGAATTTGTTTTCTCACTTCAGGTCGCCAGCACATTCCAACCATACCCCAGTTACATAGAGTTTATATCTCAAGCTTACCTCAGAAACAGAAGCTCTGAAATTGATATAGAGGTAGAGGATAATACATCAATTGCTGATAAAGATCAACCCCTCCCCATATTTCTCAAGGTACTTTTTTTTTCTCTAACCAATCTTTTTCCTCCTGGCCGTGTGTGGGCCACACTTCAGAAAGGTTGCAAATTTTTTTTTCTATCACCAGAGGTAGGGTTTTTGCCTCTCTTTTTTTCTCTCATTCGTGGAGTTCAGATTTGGCGTCTGGACTCGTACTTAAGAAATAATGGGGGATACCAAATCTACAAATAATTCTCTTTCATAAATTGTTAATTCTGTTTTACAAGTTAGCACAGTTAAATTGGATGGGGCTGGTACATATCTTGCTTGGTCAAGATCTTGTTTGCTTTTTATTGAGTCCAAAAAGTTGTTTAATAATATTATGGGAGAAAAGAAAGCACCTGTTGTGATTGATGCCAACTATAGTTATTGGGATTCAGATAATTCCCTAGTTATGACATGACTTTTGAATATTATGCACCCTCGAATTTCTAAACAGTATTTATTGCTTGATATTGCTGAAAAGATTTGGAATTACACTATGCGTACTTACTCTCGTAAGGGAAATGACGCCAGGTCTTTGAAATTCGAAATAATATTTATGCCACTAAGCAAGGTGAGTTGACTATCACTGACTACTATTCCGAGTTAACTGTGTTATGGCAGGAAATTGACTACTATCAGGATCTCCAAGTGAAGTGTACCGATGATGCAGTTCTCTTTCAAAAATTGGTTGAAAAGGAAAGGATATATGATTTTTTGGCTGGTTTGAACCCAGAGTACGATCAGATCAGGGTTCAAGTTCTTAGTAAAGTTCCTTTTCCTTCTCTTGAGGATCCATATGTTATATGCTACGCTTTACGCTAGAGGGGGGGTGAATAGCGTTTTAATAAAATTAAGCGTTTTCTTGCGGAATTTAAACTTTTCAGAA